AAGAAATTTATTACTAGCCATATGATCAGAGGAACTAGAGTCAAGGACCCAAGGACCAAGGGAGGAAGATGTAGATACAAAAGCTACATGATTACCAGACTAGGCAACAACGACAGAAGATGATGATTGATAGGTTACTTTAAGCTAAAAGAAGTCATTGTAATCACTGACCAAAATAGTATCTTCTTTCGTGAAAAGTTACCTCTTGACTAGGGCTATTTTCGGTCCGATCCGGATGTTTTTGTCCCGAGAAGTGGACCGAAATAGTTATTAGATAAACAGAGACCGGACCAAAATAATGATGGTCTCTTTTTTTAGACCGTAACTGAACTGGTACTGTCGGGTAAACTGAGACCAGACCGTAATAATGAAGGTCCTTTTTTGGGAGTAAAATTGAATCTCTAAAGTATCTAATTCTCAAATTAAGTAACAAAATCTAAAAACTACATAAATAAGTATCAAATTCTCAAAAGTGAATAAATATAATACAAAAAGTGCATAAATAAGTATCCAATTCTTAAGTATTTGTTCAATTCTAATATCATAAGTGCTAAAAAGGAAATAAACATAACACGAAAAACTTCAATTCTAAAAAAAAATGCACAAGGCAACAAATTTTTTTTATGCCAGAGATACAATCTCATCATTGGCATAGTGCAAAATACAGATCTTAAAGTTGCAGTTGTTGAAACGACACCCAGATCTTCGCCATAATGATGTGTCAAAGGTTCATCGTGTGGCTCTTCAAGCTACATATGTAAATTCATATAATTAGACTTGCAGAAAAGTTAGGAAAATGGAAATGCATAAAATAGAAATGCAGAAAAATGACTTACAATACTTGCAGTGCAACCCTTCTTGATTCCATACATCTCCTTCACCCAATCACCTCCACAAACTTCCATTTCAACTGTCTTAGTTTTCATAGATGATCGTTTTGGATCAATAACCCTTTTTCCAGCATTAAAATTTGCTTCTGAAGCAACAATAGTAACTGGAACAATTATGATATCCTTTGCCAATTTACTAAGAACATGATACTTTGCTTCATTTCCTATCCACAATGTTAAAACATCAAACTTAGCATTAGGGGGAACTTTTAAAGGAGGCTCATCAAGATGCATTTCAAGATCAGTTTTTGAATTACTATTATCTATAAAAGTTTCTAAAAACATCTTAAAATCCCCCTTCCCAACCCAAAACCAGAACTAGATCCTACTTCAAAAGTTTCAGATACAGGGGCATCATTGGTTCCATAAGTATCTTGGTACAATTGGAAGAGGGAGTTTAAGTTGATTGACAACTCTTGTTGATAGGCACTTTCTTGATCATGATTTGGATACAAAAATTGATATACCCATTTGATGAAGATCATCTTATACCTATTTGATCAAGTAGAGTTGCAAATAACTTAAGAAACAATTCAAAATTAGCCTCATAATTTAATTTCATCATAGGCATAATTGAATCACAAGGCAACAGAATTCACAAGGCTATATAATTCACAAGGGACCTGAGTTCACAAGGCAACGTAATTCACAAGGTAACAAAATTCACAAGTCAACAAAATTCACAAGGCAACATTGGCCTTAGAATTTAATTTCATCATAGGCATAATTTACTTTCATCATAGGCATATAAAGCAGACAACTAGCTACCTACGGTACAATGCCACAAATTACAATGTCAACACATTGAATAGCCTCAGAAATATCATATATATGAATGCAATTATTTCATCATAAGCATGTCAAGCATGAGACAACTAGCTGCCTAAGATACAATGCCACAAAGTACAATGGTAGCATATTGAATAGCCTCAGAATTTAGAAATATCATATATGTGAATGCAAATATGATATCATAGGCATATCAAGCAGACAACTAGCCACCTAAGGTATAATGCCACAGAGTACAATGGCAACACATTGAATAGTCTTAGAATTCAGAAATATCACATACGCCGAATGCAACTGTAATATATATATATATATATATATATATATATATATATATATATATATATATATATATATATATATATATATATATATATATATGTTTGGTTTCATCATGGGCATATCAAATAGATACCTAAAGTATAATGCAACAAAATATAAAGGCAACATAATTGAATCTACTTGTACATACCTTGGATCAAGAATTGCACCAATAGACATCAATGTAATAGACTTTGACCAATACTTGTCATATTTCAGCTTCATTTTAGTAACAAGCTTTTGCACCTGGGGACTATTTGAGATGCTTGTAGGATGATCAAGTAGCACCTTCACCCTGTAAAGCTCAACCAATAACAAATTGGCAGTAGGGTAAGAGGTGCCACTTGTAATTCATGTAACATCAGCAAAAACCTCGAAAAACTTACAAATATCATGAACATCTTCCCAATCACTGCCCTTAGGAAAATAGTTGAGAAATGCACCATTTTCCTCAACATATCTAGGCCACACTTCTCTATAGTGGTATGTAGTGGACAACATTAACCAGTTTGAGTTCCACCTTGTCTTGGTATCCAACACTTGCATTCTGCCTTCAAGTTACAACTTATCAACAATTTTTTTGAAAGCCTTGCATCTAGTTTCAGGATTGAGCAAGTATTTCACACCATTTATAATCTTATCAACAATATCCTTAATCATATAAAGACCATCCTGAACCAACAATTTAAGATGTGTGCATAACACCTCACATGAAACAGTTTACCATTTAATGGTAAATTTCTCCTATCAGAATAATCTCTCTTCAATCTAGCAATGCAGTTATCATTGGCACTAGCATTATCTACTGAAATTGAAACAATCTTATCCCTTATTCCCCAATCATCCATCACCTTAATCAACTCCTTGCACAGAACCTCCCCAGAATGTGATGGTGACACATTCTTAAAAGATAAAACTCTTTTGTGAAGCTACCATTTTGAATCAATGAAATGATCAGTCACAGTCATATAACTTATTTTCTGTTTACCAGACCACCACAAGTCAAATGTAAGACTGATTATGTTAATTAAAGACATATAATTTTTCATCTTAACTTTCTCAGCCTCATAAAAAGCCTCACAATCAGGCTTAACATGTTGCCTAGTAATCTTTTTGTACCATGGATAAACCTTTCTTATAAACTCATTAAAGATAACACATTGCATAACAAAAAAAGGAAATTCATGACCTAAAACCATATGTGCTGCAAGTTCTTTAACCCTAGCATGATTATATTTCCAAGTTGCCAAACTAGGAGTACTAGCACTACCACCTACATTTAACCTAGAATGTGCAACCTCTTTATCATTATTACCTTTCAACCTCATCTTTCTATGAATACAAGCTTCTAAATGTTTCTTACCATTAGAAGTACTTTTCCACTTCACATCATAGGTGTAAAACTTACCACAGCATATGAACTTCAACTTCTTAATACCATCAGACATTTCAATAAGTAGCATTTCAGTATGAATAACAATTTTTTTGGGACGAAGAGCTTTACCAAAGGAATTTCTCTAAGTAGTGCTATCAGTTGGAATCTCCAAATCAGTAGTATTTTGAGTAGTGTTATTAGTTGGAAGCTCCAAATCAATAATATTTCGAGTAGTGCTATCAGTTGAAAGCCCAAATCAATCATCTCACCAATCTCTATATTTTCATCCAATGTCTCCTCCTCCCCAATCCCATCAAGATCGATTTCAATATCAAGAGCATTCATGGTTGGAGTAAATGGTGAATCTTGAAAAGACATTGAAGAAAATACAATATCAATCAAACAATAGTATAATAATTTACAAAACTTAATAACACAACAGAAGTCAAAACTCAGGTCAAAATTGAAACATGCATTACAAACAACAATCAAAATTTAAAACATGTTAGCTAAAATCAAAACATGTTTGATGTTTATTATCATTTCAAACATATGATGAAACGAAAAAATGAAACTCTCAAAGAAATATGATAAAACGAAAAAAAAAATGATGAACATAGTAAACAAAAAATGAAGACATTAAATGTTAAAGTTTGAAGATGAAGACATTACCTAGACAACTGAGACGATGATGAAACCCAGACAATGCAAAGTTAGAGAGAGAGAGAGAAGACGAGGCGAGGTTGGAGAGGGAGACCGAAGATGAGAGGTTTGTGTTTTGAGTTTTGACTGATTGTTGACTAGAGTTTGGAGTGAAGCATATATACTTTGTCATGTCAGATACTTATTGGATATTTGGTCCGGTTCTCAGTTCGGGTAACAGATACAAAAATTATCCATTTCTGAACCAAATAGCATTTCGATCAGTCCATTAGTTCGGTTCTAATGGTCCAGTTCGCGGGTGAACCTCGGATAATCAGACTCAAAAACAACCCTACTCTTAACAGACTCTAATACTATATTAAAATATGAGAGAGTGAAAAACAATTAAATAAACATTATATTTGAATAACACGATGAAAATTGCATTATATAGTAAGATCTATCAATTATTAAATTAATTACATATAATTACTTATATTCTATTATATAGAGAATATGCTATAGTGTATTCTATTAAATAGGCTAATGAATATTTTATAGAATATTACTCTTAACACCAACCTTATTCTTGAGAAAAAAAAGGACAAAATTAAATTTCTATGAAACATTTTCAAAATAGTAGTCTTTTTTAATTAAAAAAAAAACACACACACACAAAAGAAACTGCTTATATGAAAAAAGGGGTGCAAAAAGTATCCGTATGTTTTTTTATCAACCTCGATATTCATCGTCGTTTGCAATAACTTACTGTTACTACACTCAAGGGAATTTTCAAACGACACCCCACTCTAGGGTTTAGGATTTCTCACTTCACTCCTCTTTCAATCACAAGAAGCTTCTCCTACTTCTTCAATCTCCATTTTCATGGCATCATCCTAAATTCTTCACCCAATCTAGTCAGCATCATTTTTTATCACCTTTCTTAGCGAGAACACTCTTTTTCGTTCAAAACCAATTCGAAAATGGAGGAGCACGAAAATGGCGCGAATCCAATCGAAGACGAACCCATAGTTGGACCCGGTCCAGCTCCTCGTGCTCGACTCAAACGACCTCTCCAGTTCGAGCAAGCTTATCTCGATGCTTTACCTTCCGCTAATATGTAAATTACCGCGCTTAATCTCTTTTCCAAGGAGACTCTAGTTTTCTAGTTTTTTTAATTAGGGTTTGCTTTCACTAAATTTTGAAAATTTGAAACTGGAAACTATAGCTTAGGATTCATTAATACATGTTTAGGAGAATATTCAGTTAAATTATAATTTTTAAGTGTGTATGGAAGTTAAGAATTATGGAAATTTGAATTGAATGGTTAATATTTGTCTGGTTTCATAGGTATGAGAAAAGCTATATGCATCGTGATGTGGTTACACATGTTGCTGTTTCGGCTGCTGAGTTTTTCATTACTGGAAGTGCTGATGGTAAATTATGTTCTGATTGTCATTTCTGCTATTGTATTGTATTTTTTGAGTTTGAGAGACTAAAATTAATGGTTAATTATGATTTTATTTTATCTTTTTTTTTTTTTTTTACGGTTGTGAGTAGTCTGGGGAGTACTTTTAAGCAACTAATATTAATGTAGTGATTTTATTAGCTTTTACCTTTACAATTAGAGATTTTTTTTGTACCAATCAAATTATGTCGAATGGATATCTGTGGAGATATTTTAGGAGTTAACTTAAAAAAGTGGCATGTGATTTGATTGGATTCTAGTGTGAAAAAGTGGCATCGTCATTTGTAGTATGAACAAAGATGCAACATTTGTCTGTGTGTGAGTTGTAGTGTACCTAGATCATGCTGAAATTAGCCTAGCTTTTGAATTAATAACGTAATGTTGGTATCTCTGTGTGGTTTACTGCTGTTGTCAGGGCATTTGAAGTTTTGGAAGAAAAGGCCTATTGGTATTGAGTTTGCAAAACACTTCAGATCTCATCTTGGTCCTATCGAAGGTCTAGCTGTGAGTTCATTAACCTGGCACAACCCTTTAGCTTGCAGCTGTAAAATCTTATATGATGTAATTGATTCTTGGTTTAATTTTATGATATGTGATAGTATGTGTGGAGTCAATGGTGGGTAGTGACCGACTCAGAAAACATAATAGCAAAGTGGGTTGTGTTATGGCAGCTATGTTGAAAGGTCGAAGTTTAAGGAATTGAATAGAATAATATATATGTAAAAGCTCAAATGCAAAAGAATACACAAAAATAAAGACATATTCATATCTAATAATCACAGTTCATTGTTATCAATATCCAAGCACAACGTAAAGTAAATAAGTTTAAGAGTGAAATGACCAAAATGTAAATAAAAAGCAGAGGGGTGGCTATAAAGCTTGGGGATTATTTGGGTTTTAGTGCATAGGGGTCCCTACAGCTGCTATTGACTATTGAAAGCACACTAATGATGTATTTCTTTATGCGGAAAATTTTCTCTTGTTATAATATGTATGCGTAAATATTTATGTTTTCAAAATCTTCTTGTTGTACTTGTTATCAACCATGACTTATTTCAGCTATGCAGGTTAGTATTGATGGTCTGCTTTGCTGTACAATATCAAATGACCGTTCTGTAAAAGTATACGATGTAGTCAACTTTGATATGATGGTGATGATTCGGTTGCCATACATTCCTGGCGCCATTGAATGGGTTTATAATCAAGGGGATGTCAAAGCTAGTCTTGCCATCAGTGACAGGAACTCATCTTTTGTTCACATATATGATGCACGGTCTGGTTCAAATGATCCCATCATCTCCAAAGAGGTGCCAATTCTAAATCATCTCTAATGCAACTGAATTTTAAAAATGCATGAGCTTTGATTTCATTATTTCACGTGTTATTTCTTTTCTTAATTTAATTACAAATCTTGTCATTCTTTTCTTAATTTAATTACAAATCTTGTCATTCTTTTCTCCTTCATTCAGATTCATTCAGGCCCTATTAAAGTTATGAAGTTCAATCCTGTGTATGATACTGTAATATCGGCAGATACAAAGGGTTTTATTGAATACTGGAACCCTACAACACTCCAGTTCCCAGAGGATGAGTATGTGCTTTGTTATTTTCTTACTTTGGTTCTGCCTCTCTTTTTTTAGTTAATAGATTCATCAAGGTTTAATTATTTTTGTTTGCCCGTCTTCAAAATTCCTTGTCTCGTACGGATACTCATATACGTCAAACCACGTACATTTTACATATTTTGAGTAGCTTAACCACTTGTAGATAGATTCCTTTATACTGTACTGAATGGATTATTGTATTTTGAAGACTCATAATTCTGAAGTCCGCATCTAGCATTTCATCTCGTTCTCTCTGGGTCTTAACACTAGGTGCTATCATCTATAATAATCTCACGCATACATGATTTTACTATTAATAGTTTTAGTTGCCATCTTGCCGATAAAAAACACTACCTTAAATAGAGAATATGGTTCCTATTTGGGGTGCTGTTGGCAGTGCATATGGATGTGGATCTGGTCAATTTGAGATGAACTGAGAAGTTTAACTTTGAAAATTAGATATTTTTTGTTTGATCGAATTGGAAATTAGAATTTTGATCCCAAATGTTGCAACGTGTAGCATTTGACTTATACTGCCAGAGTGAACATAATTACTGTTTTATTCAGACTTTAGAGTTTGCATGCTTTTTAAATCTTTGATGTTGTATTAACTCAGAGGCACCTTTTGAAAACCTGGCTACTGTTTCAAGGCTTTTGGGTTAGGTCAGCCAATAAGGGGCCACAAGACATACCATGAAACCGAATTGTAATCTGCAATGCCGTGAAACATCAAATATTTATAAATATTGTGATTGTTCTACAATTTTGACTTTTTATCTTATAGAACAGTTATGGAAATTCTTAGCTGCATGTTGTATGAATTTTGTGTAGTTACTAATGCAGTTTAATCATTTCCCTTGATGCTTGTAGGGTGAGTTTTAAGGTTAGAAGTGATACTAACCTCTTCGAAATAGTAAAATGCAAGACTTCTCTTTCGTCTATTGAGGTACCTCAGCTGTCTAGACAAACTTCCAAACTATTAGTTGATGACTTAATATTCAGTTATTTAGGTATATAATGAACGCTAGACGCCCATTAATTGATTTAGATGGTATTTATTATCTGTATTGCATCCTCCTTTAGGTCAGCCCAGATGGTAAACAGTTTTCCATTACATCACCTGATCGTAGGATACGTGTGTTTTGGTTCAGAACGGGTAAACTAAGGCGTGTTTATGATGAGTCACTGGAGGTAACAGTTTCACCTGAAATTTTGGCATTTCTCTAATTGTTTTTGGACATTTAATTGTTAAATGAATTCATATTTTGATAGGTTGCTCAAGATCTCCAAAGAAGTGATAATCCATTGTATCGATTGGAAGCCATTGATTTTGGTCGAAGAATGGCTGTTGAGAGAGAAATTGAGAAGACAGAAAGTGCACCACAACCAAATGCAGTTTTTGATGATAGTTCCAACTTTCTTATATATGCAACCTTGCTTGGGATTAAAGTGAGTTTTTTCATACTTAACTGGGTTGCAATCACTTCATTTCCTTCAGTTATACATTTTTTTAATACTTGTAACTTTTCTTTGTTGCTTGCTAATGTAATGTAGCCACTAGATGAAACTTCATTCCCTAATGTTTTCACATCTTCTGCTTGGTCATAGATTGTTAATTTACACACCAATACAGTTGCTCGAATACTTGGAAAGGTGGAGAATAATGATAGATTCTTAAGCATAGCTTTATATCATGGGGAACGAAGTGGCAAAAAAGTGAGAAAGATTCCTTCAGCAGCTGCAAATGCTAATGAGAGCAAGGAGCCTTTGACAGATCCGACTCTCCTATGTTGTGCTTTCAAAAAGCATAGGATTTATTTATTTAGGTATGACAGTTAAATTTTTTTTACCAATCATTGTACCATTTCTTTGAACTCAAAGTAATTCAGTCTTATTATTTGATAATATCATATATCAGTCGAAGAGAACCTGAGGAGCCCGAAGATGCAACTAAGGGAAGAGATGTGTTCAATGAAAAGCCTCCTGCTGATGAACTTTTGGCAGTTTCAGATATTGGAAAGGCACTAACAACATCACTTCCTGACAATGTGGTGAGTTATCCTTATTTGGCTATAAATAGTTTACCTCTGTATAGTAGTTATCCAATACAAATGGGAAATATATTTCCGCTCAAGACTCTAGAGTAGTTTAAATATTTTATTTTCAAGTTACGATTATGTCTGGTCCCCATAAAGAGTCTGATAATTGCAATTCTTCTTTTTGCAGATTATGCACACCACTATGGGTGATATTCACATGAAGTTGTACCCTGAGGAATGTCCAAAATCTGTGGAAAACTTTACCACTCACTGCAAAAATGGTTATTATGACAATCTTATTTTTCACAGGGTCATCAAAGGCTTCATGATACAAACAGGAGATCCTTTAGGAGACGGCACTGGTGGGCAGTCCATTTGGGGTAGAGAATTTGAAGATGAATTTCACAAAAGGTAATCAATTTTATCTTTAAACATTTTATCATCATATCATGCACTTGAAATATCATCATGATTTCAGACTAGAATAACTAAAGTAATGATCATCTATGAAACACACTGAATAATTTTTTTTTTTTTGCAGTTTAAGGCATGATAGGCCTTTCACATTGTCAATGGCAAATGCGGGCCCAAATACCAACGGTTCTCAGTTTTTTATCACCACAGTGGCCACTCCATGGCTGGACAACAAACACACTGTATTTGGTAGAGTTGTGAAAGGAATGGATGTTGTCCAGGTAAATTGGATTCTTATCTTATATTAAGCATTATCTAGTCCATCATATTAAGTCATGTCATATATATCTTCTATTAAGCATTATCTAGTCCACCATATTAAGTCATGTCATATATTGGAACTGCCTGCATGTACTCGTGCAGATTTTACTTGGCAAATAATCTTCATGCATTCATGCTTTTGTGTCACCCGAACATATCTTTAAATTATTTCTTTCCTTAGGCAGAGAGAATAATAGATAAATCTTTTACTTTTTTTTTAAAAACTGCTTTTTGTATAGAATGATAAGTGAATACTTATTATTAATATATGTTTAACAGTAAGAGTATTATAATTACATACATTGAATTTTAAGATTTTACTTAAGTCCCAATTCAATTTTTGAGTTCTCCCAAATTAAGGGAAGTTTCTATTGTGAAGAAAAACAAACCCCCCCAAAGCCCTCCCCTTCCAAAACCTTCAATTATTTTCATCCTTCCTTTGAACATTCCAGAACCCCTAGAGTTTCGTGGGGCATCTACCCATCAGTCATTCATGGAATGCCTTGTCATTTTTTAATAATAATTTATATTTAAATAAATAAAAATTTAAATGCATTTTGCCTAAAGATTACCCAACTAAAACTCATGGATACCTAAAAATTTATCTTTTTTCTAAGCCCTCCCCTCCAAACTCAAGCAAAGCCTTAATTTCTTTTTGGCAAGGTTGTCCATCTTGAGAGTTCAAATAAATCCAAAATCAAGTTTATCTTAGAAAAAAATAATATGAAAAAACCAATTAATGACATGTATACATAATAGATACTCCATTGGTGCAATTGAAGATATTCAAACATAACTTAGTATAGGACCCCATGGGCTAAATCAAGAGATAAAATTGGTTAAAGCTTTCATCATAGTATTGAATGTAGATGGCAGAAAAAGATGTATGTTGAAAATTCAAATAGGGTCATAAAAAGTGACTAATTTTTTACCAGAGAATCTTATATTTAGGGACAGATAGATAGATAGAGTAATATACTACCCTTAGCACAATCTAAAATAAATGTTATGGGAATGGAGATTGTGTTCTCTAGGTGCTGGAAGACGCAAAGGTTTTCATACATTTGTCACCCACTCAAATTCTGAACCTAACATGAAAACGCGAGTGAAACACAACGAAGCCCTAAGTTTTGGGTCTTTTTCTAACTTTTCTTCGACTCACCAACTTGTGAGCTGACAGTTTGAATGAGTTAGACTCAGTATACACTGATTAGAGTCCACGCGACTAACCTGTGACCACACTAACGCACTAACTTGCAAATTTGACAACCATGTTTTTTGGTCTGTGGAACTTCTGATTTACTTTTTCAGGTCCTTGTTTAATGAATGTGAACATTCTTTTCTATCTGAAAAAATTAATCAATCGAGAACTTTGTTGGCAGGCTATAGAAAAAGTGAAGACGGACAAGGGAGAAAAGCCATATCAAGATGTTAAAATTTTAAATGTCACTGTACCAAAGTCTTGAAGGTCTTGATTTGTATGACTATTGCAGTTAATCGTCTATACCAAACTGATGATAGGTTGGTGAAGCTTTAACAGGACAATTTTATATTTCAATCATTAACCTTTAGTTTCATTGATTTTATCTAAATGTAACAATTAGTTATTCTTGGCAAGCAGTGCAGCACAACGGTGATGGCTTGCTTTCTGCTTTGCCAGTGTGACGTAGTCTTCTTTTTGGGCACAACCAGTGTAGTTTATTGAATTCTAAAGGATTGCAGTGAAAAAATCTCTTTAAATACTATTCCGCAAACATTTGCTTCCACTACATGTAAAGTCTGTTACATGGACTTAATGCAGTTGCTACAGGTGTAAATTGCAAACAGACCAATCAAAATTATAAGGTTTGCATTTCATTTTGATTGAACGGAATGCATTAGTGTAACAAATGTTTTTTTTTATGGACAAGGGGCTTTGATATTTTTGGGAACATGCCTGAATAAATAGTTGAATTATATTTTATCCACAAATTTGATGGGAAATGTCCTAACCAATTATACTTTCAAAAACCTATATTATTGTCATTACCAAGTTTCCATCCATTTTAGTCAAAAATCTATATTATTCTATTCATAATGTATCTGAGATAGTCCCATGATATACAGTCATATGCCTTATCGAAACTAACTTTCACCAACAAGCATTCCTTTTTATTTCTCTTTGCAAAGTCCAACAATTCATTCACTACCAACACCCCATCTTACATCTGTCTCTGAGTTAAAAGAAAGTAGTCTGGCTTTTGGAGATAAATCTATCCATAACCTTCCTACTAGACATACATGCATGTACTCATCGAGACATTGTGAATTGTCTGCTTTTTGGATCAAAAGCTAAGAATGAAATTTTCACTGCTTTTGGTACCTTGCATTAAGGTAAAATTCATTAATAAAATCTAGGTATCTCCCAAACATTTTTTGAAACGTCCTAGATCAAATCCATCCATGGCTTTTATCCCTATCACTATGCCACACCATATCTTTGAAAAACTCTACTCTTTGGTCCAGTATAATGGAACTTCGGTGCATCAAGTGGAAGTCTTATGGTATCTGTATAAGGCATCTCGATACTTGATCGACACCCTTCGTTAACTATGAACTCGCCGTATCCAGGTGCCATTAACTATGAGCTCATTTTATCTTCGATGTCGTCCCGAAAGATACCACAGTGGAAGTGATGTTAGATCAGAAGGTAGATCGAGAACCTTCAACACTAGCTTCATGGAAATTGCCTTTAGGCCCCCAACGTAAATCTATATCTGGATATATGGCTCTTTATTTTGTGGCTTTGCGGAGTTCTCGAGAGAACTAGAGATCTGAAATTTTGAGAAATCACAATCGAAATGATGGTCGATTGAATCGACTACGACAGATACCCGTGTTCACTTCTGAACGCTCTCGATTTTGAAATCTAATGAGGTTGTAAACTATTAAATCGAAGACTGGGATCTCGAATCGTAAGAATCCAGACCTAGAATTTTTATGTTTGCATGATGAAGTTGGGAAGCGAACGTGAATTCATGGAAATCGTAAAAATTGGAAGTCGATTTTCACAGATGGTGTTACTATTCCATTCATGAACTATAAATAGATGCAGTTGAATAACTGATGATCTTGAACGGTGACTCTAATCTCCTTTTACAATGGCGTGGGATGGACTTACATTGTTAGCACTAAACGCCCAAGTCAGTCAGTTCAATATTCATGATGATTGTAGTGAAAGTGAAGATCTGAAAATGTATCCTTACTCTTTGCGTGTGAACTGATTTTATATCTTAGATTAAGTGGAGTGTATTTGAGATGAATTGAGCCTTAGTTATTTGGGTCTTTAACAAATCCAATCCAGAACATGGTTAATGCATTAATATTTTAATTTGTACTTTAAAATTTTAAATATTTGAAATGCGTGTATGAAATTTTTTTAGATTATTTTATTTTATTATTTGTAATGTAATTTTTTGTTGGAAAAAATATATATTTTTATAATAAAAAAAATTAATTCCACTTCAAAGATGGTGACGAGGCGGGATACCCAAACCTGTTTAGGTTTTTACTCCGGTTATTCTTATCACGTGACTCCGCATTAGGAATGGTTCATTATATTCAATTTAGGTAATTTTAGATTTGTTTGTCTAGGTAATAATAACGCATGTACTATCAATAGAATGAGACAAATTAAAATTTTCATGGACAATAGTTGCGCGCGAACATAGAACAATGTTAGATATACTTTAGAAATGAGGAGGAACTTGATTTTCTTAGGTACTCTACAAGCAAATGGTTTTTCCAAAAGGTTTGATGAATATAAGGGCATTATTAAGGTTAGCAAAGGTGTCTTGACCGTGATAAAAGCAAGGAGGGCCGCAAATAACATCTACAAACTATAAAGGAACATTGTTATAGATTATGTTGCATTTGTTAAGTATGATAATAAGCTACCAAACTCTAGTATATGTCTCTGGGTCATCTTAGTGACTGTGAGATGATGTAACTCAAAATGAAAATTTATTAAAGGGTGTTTGTAGTTGTAAGACGAAATTGCGGAAGTATCATGCACTTGGAAAATAGGTGTCATGTCGGTTCAAGATCGGAAAGCATAAATCAGGGAGTCTTAGACTATGTGCAGGTAGATGTGTGAAGGGATATCAAAGAGGGTTCCATGAGTGGTTTAAGGTATTTTGTGACTTTTACAGATGATTTTTCTTGCAAAGTTTGTGTGCATTTCTTGAAGTATAAATCTGAAGTCTTTACCAAATTCAAGTTGTGAAAGGCAGAGGTAGAGAATCAACCATGCAGAAAAATCAAGTATTTGTGGTTAGATAACGAAACAAAGTACATCGATTTGAATTTCAAGATATTTTGTGAAGAAAACACTATTCAAAGTCAATTCTCAATACCACAACAAAAATGGTGTGTTAGAGATAATGAATAGACCTCTAACTGAATGGGCAAGATGTATCTGGTTAAATGTTGGATTATCAAAAGGTTTTTGGGCATAGGCAGTTAATATGGCATGCTATCTTATCAATATGACACCACAAATTTCATTGGAGTGGAAGGTTGCAAAAGAGGTATGGACATGTAATCCTATTGATCTTGACAATTTAATAATTTTGCGTCTCTAACTTATGTCGATATATCCCGTGAAAATCGACCCAAATTTGATCCAAATTCGAAGAAATGTATCTTCTTCGGTTATGCAAAAGGTGTGAAGGAGTTCAAGTTATGGGATCTGATAAAAAAGAAGATGGTAATCAACAAAGATGTTGTTTTTGTTGAGTAATTAATTTTGTAGCAGTGAGTCTCTACATATGTGTTAGCATTTGAGGGATAAACTTCCAACAATCATATGATTAAGGTGGATGTTGATCAGCCACCAATAAACAATATGTAGGCAGTTCCTAAACCACTGGAGGAACTAGGTTCTGATACTGATATTAACCACAAACCTGAAGTTTCAGGTGGAGTACTTGACTATATTCTTGTACATGAAAGAGCATCATTCAACAAAGTCACTAGAAAGATATAGGTATGAAGACTTATCATTTTATGCACTGGTTACTAGTTTTTGACACCCTTCCACCTTTCAAGAGGCTACAACTAGCCAAGAGAAAGATTAGTGGATGGGTGCAATGGTGGGAGAGATGTAAGCCTTAGAGAAAAATAAGACATGGGAGTTTGTTCAACTTTCTAAAGGGAAATGGGTCATCGGTTGTAATTGGGTGTTCAAGAGAAAACTAATAGTAACAGAAAAAGAAGGGAGAAGTTCAAGGTTGGTCTTGTAGCAAAGGAGTACTCACGGTAAAATGGGATTGACTATGATGAGGTTATCTCTCTAATCAACTAATCTTCATACATCTATCAAGTCTGTGTTAGCCTTGGTAGCAAGCTGAGACATGCAATTAGAGCAGATGGATGTGAAGATAACATCTCTTCCCGGTAATCTAAATAAGCACATTTATGTGGAGCAGACAAAGGGGTTTACTGAAATTAAATAAGACAGACTAGTTTGTAAATTGAAGATGTCTTTGAATTATTAAAAGAAACATCTAAAGCAATGGTACAAACACTTTCGTTTATACATGTTTCTGATTGGTGAGAAAAGGTATGAGTATAATCGTTGTGTTTATGTTAGATGCCTTGATGATGGATATTTTATTTTCTTGTTATTGTATGTTGATAATATGTTGATTGTTGTTAATCATTTACCTAATGTAAATGAACTAAAAATCATGTTGGATAAGGAGTTTGACATGAATGACTTAGGTGTTGCTAAGAAGATTCTTAGTATGAAAATGACAGTGACAGAAGTGGTAGAATATAATGGCTCTCTCAGAAACTATATGATGAAAATATGTTGAAAAAGTTTGACACGAATAATTCAAAGGTTGTGAGTACTTTATTGGTGAATCACTTTAAACATTCATTGGAGCAATGTAGAAACACAAATGCAGAAGCTAGATATATTTTAATGCTTTCTTATGATAGTGTTGTTAGTTATTTAATGTATGTTATGGTCATTAGAAAATAGTCAAATGATTTTTTAGACATTACCAGATTTGGCACAAGTTATAAGTCAATTTTTTTAATTTATACTCAAACCATGTAATCGTTATTGGGAAGCAACCAAATAGATTTCTAGGTACTTAAAATGTACAACGAGTTATGGTATCATGTTTAGCAGTAAACAAAGTGATCCTTCCATTGTAAGGTATGTTGATTTAGACTATGCTAGTGGTATGGATGATATGAAGTCTATAACAATGTACGCCTACACTTTAGCAGAAGGACCTCTTTGTTGAAAATTATTGTTTTAATTAGAGTTGACAAAACGGGTCAGACCGCGCATCCGTAAAAAATTGACAGATTGGGTTGGAACTTTAGACCAGCCTACCCGTTCAGCACGCCCCGCCAAAATGAAAAAAAATTTGTGTGCTGAAGATATAATGGGGTAGGTTGGCTCATTAGTTCGTTTAACAAATAACTATTTAAAAAATAGTCAATTTAATAATAAGATTCTTTATCAAAAATTATTTTAAAAAATAACTGAAAAATATAATTAAAATATAAAAATAAAAAATAAAAACTATTAATTTATTAAAAATATGAAAAAGAAATTTACCTATCACTTTTGTAGAACGGACTAAATTTTTAAATTTAATTTTATTTGACGTTCCGCCGTTTTTTTAACAGATTTAAAGCGGGGTAGGATGACCTATTTTAAGATCCCTAATTTTAATCCATAATTGTCAACAACTAAAACAAAATACATTATGGCATATGAATCTGCCAAAGAAACCTTATGGTTTAGAGGACTGGTGAGAGAATTGAGTGTTAAGCAAATTGCTAGTGAGACAATTGAGTATTATGCAAACGGTTAGAAAATTGAGTGTCATACAAATAGGAGAGTTGAATGTTAAGCAAAGTGAAATTTGATTGCATTCTAAATGGGAGAGTGGGGGTATTGAGCAAAGTGAAATGAAATTTGATTGCTATGTAAATTGGAGAGTTAAATGTTGAGCAAAGTGAAATTTGATAGCATTGTAGTAGTATCATTTATTTGACAAACAATCAAATATATTATATCAGGTTCAAGGTTCAAGAATATTGATGTGACTTTTTACAAAATCAATGAAAATTAATATGAAAATTAATTAATAACTTGTATTTGAACAAATATTGATCACTATTTATAAAATAGTGTTCTAAAATAAATAATTCATTTTAATTTTTAATACTTTTTTTTCAATTTTATTCTCTAATTAATAATACTTTTATCATTCTTAATATATGTTAAAAATGCTTTAATAAAAATATCATTATGAAATACTTGAATATGTTCATAATTTAGTAATTTAGGCCAAAGAACTCAATCATCATTTAGTATTTATTACACGTTTGTCACTATTAAATATGAAAAAAAAATGTAGATTAATAGACATAAATTACTCAAAGATTAACAAATTATATAAAAATAAAAATAGTATTACAAATATTTTTATTCTGATAAGTCGATCTCATTAATAATTTTAAGAAAAATATTGATACAATTTTTTTAAAAACCCCAAGCATAATCTATCCGAAATAAAAACCTGGTTTGTCATGTCTTAAACTCATAGATACCATAGCCCCTGTTGTTTATAGATGTATAAAATACAATAGTAGTTTTTTACAAACCCGCTACATTTTTGAAAATAATCTAACACCATAATGCCACATTTTAAAAAGAATGTACCATAATGCCACACTTTTTTCTGAAATTATTTTTCTTCATCCGCTTGTCCATGCATTGGCGAGCATACACATACAAAAAAACTATTAAAATTATAAAAATAAAATAAAAAATAAAAATATTAAATTAATCAACTATGGCAATAATTGGCCAAACAAATGATCGAAAATAAATTCAGAGCCTATCGCCCAAGGGATAGACGAGAACATGTGTGAAAATGTAGCATTTTGAAGAAAAGAATTTCAAAGTGGGGCATTATGGTAGGTTATTTCCAAAAGTGTGGCAGGTATGTAAAAAACTCTACAACTACAAAACAACCTCTAGCAATTCTATACGAGAACAAATAAAAATGGCAATCAAAATTAATAATCATTTCTCTAGATGCAAAGCCAAAGATGATAAATAATGAGGTTTAGAAGGGTTGAGAACTTGTCTTCGTTGAACAGAGAACCCAAAGCTATTAAATTTGAGCTTTCATAACCAACATGGTTGAAAAATAAAAGGTGAAACAAGTAATACTCAAAACAAACACTTGCCAAGGAAATAAAAACCAACAGAGAAAGGATATATAAAATGCATAAAAATGAGCAATTAAACTCTTACAGAAAGGCTTTACATGTTAATCCTTTTAGGAGATGATGCTTTTCTTTTCTAGAAGCATTATAACAACGTATCACTAATCACCAACTATAAACCAAACAACCAGGTAACTACTAGGAGAAAGGATGAAACAAAATCAACAGAATACTTGCGCATATGGGAAGCACAGTAAGCAGAAGAAAAATATAACATTTGGCTTCGAATAACAAATGAAAAAAAAATGCCTCTGGCTTCGAATAACCACCACTGCAAACCAATTTGGCTACAATGCAATTAAGACAGCCAGACTCACTTGCAAATTCATTCTAGTTTTGATTAACTAATATGACACAATAATGAGATTCAGGAATTAAACAACAAAAGTGAAAGAGGAGTACAAATTCACTAGTCTTGTACTCATTCATATAAATAAAAGGACCCAAAAAAGGTAACAACACATAAATTCAAAACACCTAAAATTCGATGTCATTACATTGTCTCAATAGAAATGCAAAATCTTGTGAGTAAAACTAAAACTATAGCTAGAACCACAAATGTCTAACAAGTAACCCACTTCAAAACCTTAATCAAATAAGCTGAATCCCATGTCCTGCATAAACAAAAATGATAATACACAAACATTAGCATAATCATAACTTTAACAAGCAACAAGCCAAAAGCAACAATAATACATTAACTGTTAGACTTACATCATCGGATTCTTCCTTCTCTTCTACCTTCTTCTCCTCTTTAGCTTCAGCAGCAGGAGCAGCAGCTGCAGCACCTCCTCCAGTTGCAGCAGAAACCGCAACAGCACCACCACCAGATGGAACTGAAGACAACTTTTCTCTTCCGCTGGCAATTAGTTCAGCAAAATCTTTGCCCTTGACTTCAGTTAGGAGCAACTCAATATTTGAGTCCTCAGCTTCAACACCAACTACAAACATAAATAAAAAATTATACCCGAATTTAAAGTTTCCCTTTTTTCATCATGGAGTACAAATAACTAAAATTACTTATAAATAATAACTATAGGCATACTCAATATACAAATCAAGCAGTGAAAACCATTCTAGATTTACTACTTGCAATCGCATCAAAACCTTAATCAACAAGAACAATGAAAATTTGACAGTAAATATTTCAAAACTGTATAAAAGCAAGTATTCAACTCAAACCAATACACTCATTGATCTATGTCAATCAATCTGATAATCAATTAACAAATCCAAAACTTCAAAAAAATACAAATTGTGTACCTAAACTTTATGATTGAAAGCAACTATAGTTAAGTTCGTGGATCTAATTAAACCCTACAGATACCAATAATTGATCATAGAAAACAGAAAAAACGCACAATGAATAAAAAAACCGTATGAACAAGATTACAGAATTCGGTAACGTAAAAGCGAAATTGGGAACAAGTACCTGATCCGAGAATTTTCTTAATATCAGCAGCTGAAGGGGATGCGTTGCCTCCCAATACGGCCAACAAGTAAGCAGCGATAACCTTCATTTCTGAATCAAAAAATAGGAAAATTCAATAGTTAGAAACACAGATCGATGTCACAAATGTGAAAGTGAATATTTTTGTGAAGAAATCGACAGCTTACTTGATGTAGAGGGAAGGCGAATGAGAACTCGATTTAGGGTTTCACCAGAGAGATATTGAGGCACACTGCGAAAAATGGAACGTCTTATACGAATTTATAAACTAGGGTTTTCCCGTGGGTTGGGTTTACCCTTACGAAATTCCGATAATGTCCCTTATGTAAATTGTATTTCCGAAATAATTTTTATGTTTTTTTATAAATTAATTGGATTTGAAATTGGTATCTCACTTCATAACAATTTCGTATATTTTTAAAAATGTTTTATTTTGATGCGGAAATCTTACCATTAATGAAGAGATTTTTTTTCTTTTAAACAAACATTCCAAAAATTGGATTTAGTCTTTTTGAACCTAATTTCATTTAAATCCGTTTAGAAGTGTGGCGTGGTGGGAGGGACCAAATTATATATGTGAGTTTAAAAGTCAAGTTTAATACTAAGGAGTTGGTGAATCGGTCCACCAATATTTTTTTTATAATTTAATTTATTAAATAACTTATAAAATTGTTAATCATTACTAAAGAAATCAATAAATTTTAATAACGTAAGTAAAATTTTAACAAATCCCTTAACATAAACAAAAAATGTAACTATAATATCAAAAATTTAAAACAAACTCACTAAAATCTCAAAATAATCATTTTAGTTCAAAAAATTAACAAGCACAACCTAGTTAAGGACATCTAAGGACACAAATCAAAAAAACAAACTAGTACGGGCTTAATAATGAAAACATCTCAAAAATAAAACAATCCAAGAAATCAAAGCTTCGTTATTTAAAAATTATCAATACAAATGATAAACACTTAATTGAATATTTTAGTGTCAAAAAATAAATAAAATGAGAACTCAAATATAATAAAATACAAATCAAAATGTTATTATCATAATGAGAAACAAACTCATATGTGCAAAACTTACTTTATAACTTTAGAACTCGACTCCAATAATAACGAGTAATAGAAGATAGAAAATAATGTATTCTCTATGTTTTGTAATAAAAAAATTTCCTACTATGAGTGAAAATAAAGAAAGAAGCAGAGACTAATTAATGTCTTCAAAATGAGGTGTTTGTGTTTATGTGAAAAATGGTTATTTTAAAAGTATGTATACTACAGACTATGTTATATTGTTTTAATTCGAAGTAAAAAAAAATTAACAAATAGCTCGTGGGCAAAACCCGCCCCCTGGCCCGTTTTAAAAGTGGGTTAGGCGGGACGGTCCAACTTAAGACATTGAGCCGAAAACCTCGCCCCGACCCGCTAAAAATGGTAAGTTAAACGGACGGACTCGATGGGCTTAACCCGTTCTGCCGCCCCTAATTGTGTTGCCCTTACTTAGTCTTAGTTTGATGGGCCAAATTGTGGGTTAGTTCATTCTCGCTTCTGCCAATGTGTTGGATATCTCATTTTCTAAAATGTCTTGGAGTTTGTTGAATTTTTTACAACCTTGTTATGAATTTTATCCTCATTATCTATTTAGTTATCCTTCTGATGAACTCCATCAACAATTTCCGCCTCAGCTGACTTATTATAGCCCTTTTACTTTCAAGTAGCTTGAGTTTTGATCTCTTTCTTATCGTCATAATATAAAGCTCCCATTTTCCACTCTCCATGTGTGGAATGGTTGCCATGAGTGAGAATCATGATTTTTATGCCCTTTTAGTGAGTGTTTTCTTGATTCCTCATATTCATCATTGCGGTCGTTTGTGTCCTTTTGATTTACTTTAGGTAATGTTCTTTTCTGTTGTTCTCATTATTTTGCTCTTAATTTATTTTCTTTTGATTGTTTTTGTTCAGCTCTTGATAATTTGTTTTGTTGTTGTTTGTTTTATATCCTTGCATGTCAGGGCGATAGGGACTTGTTGCTACTAAAGTTACCTTTTTTACTTCTGCTGTTGTGATTCTCCGTCGTTTGGAGCTCGTGGTTCCTTTTCTCCAGCAACTTTTCCATGGTTACGTCAGGCTCTTCTTCACCAGTTATGCTTGTGTTCTTTTGCATGTCACTTATCTGGTGATCTTCTTTATTGCTTTTACTATTCACTTTCTCATTGTTACTTTAGTTTTTCTGACTGCTCTTGTCATTATCCTTGTTTGTGTTGTTATTGGAGTTATGCTTCCATTTCCTTTTGGCTTCCATTTTTCTCAGGTTGTTCTCGTTGCTTATGTAAGTGTTGGTTTTGAGCTCTTGTATGTTTTTCTTAGGGTTGTTTAGTTTAACATAACTAATATTATTATTGTTTGTTTGACTATTTGTGTTATCATGTTGCTTAACCTTTTGGTTTTTGGGGTTTTCTGTTTGCTTCTTGGTGCCCGAGGTTTCTCCCACATACCAATTTTCAAGCTTATGCTGGATATGTTTGTCTCTCAGATTATCCTTGATGTTCATGCATATCCATTTGAAGTGTTGATTCTCTTGTTCATTTGTATCTCTGTTCCAAGTGATTTGTATATCTGTTTCAGGTGATTTGTATCGCTGTTTCAGGTGATTTTTCCTTTTCCTTTGTATATACTTTCCTTTATCTTATTGCTTCTTTAGTTGTTTTTGTTTTGCTCAGATGCTTGACGTTTGCCATCTATGGTATTTTTGAAGTTTAATACTTTTTTCTCTTTATGAGTATCCTTAATATCATTACGTGTATACCATAATTGTGTCTTCTGTTGTTATTATTTATTTGTTCCCCCTTTATGAACCTCATGGTTTCCTCGTTGGTGTTTTGTAGGTGTTTACGTCTTTGGTGATAATTGTTATTGATTTGATTGTGATGGTGAAGGTTTGTTTTTAGGTTTTCTTCTATGAACATTTTGTTTTGATTGATGTTGTCTATAGTACCCGAGTGGTAACTGTTTTGATATTAGTTATTGTCTATAACCTCCCTGTGGTCTTTGAGATTTTTCGGATTAGCCTTTACCTTATTGTTGTTACTTATAAAGTCAGATTGATTTATGTCCTGATAATCTTTTTCTCCTTTTTGGTTTTCTGCTTGATTAATAATGGTTTGAATATGAGGGTAGTAATCCTCGTAATCCATTTGTTACGAGTCCACCATATAATATAAGTGATGTTGATAACTTTCATTATGGTTTCTTTATCACACCTCTGAATCATTTCCCTAAGCCAGGTCTGAAACTTTGCTTTTTTTTTTGTTTTGAAATTTAGGTTTAGGGAAGAGGCAAACCATGTCCTTTTCTCTTTTTCACAATCCATAAAAGTGAAAGTTATTGTCTCTTCGTTAGTGAAAAAATTAGGGAGGAATAGAGGGTGAGGTATACGTCTTTTACTAAGAGCACTTATGACAGTGATAACTCCTTCTACAACTCTCGAAGTGAAATTTATACTTTGGGCTGAGCAATAGTGCTTCAAAGATTGTTCTAAATTTTTTCCTCTTCATTATAGTTAGAAGTTCCCGATTACCTTCTATTTTCCTTGTTCTAAAAGTAGTGGTACCTTGATTTAACAGTATATGTACCTTTCTTATTAGCAACCCACATCACCATATCTTCATCATCTTTATCTCTTATAGGAACTTGAGTTATTTTGTCAATATCATAAGGAATGAAGTTATCGATTATAATGGTAAGGTTTCAGGATAAAGTCCCTTAATTAATTAGGTCACTAACCCAAAGCACTTTGGGAGCTAAAGGCCTGCAGGTTGGGACTTTAAACCATCCTTGTTATGGAATCCAAGGATCCTCCCATACTTTAGTAGTATTGTCATTCCTAATTTTCTAGCAGCACCCTTTAAGGAATTTACTCTTAGCATTAATGATACTTTTCCACATATAACTGTCTGATTTTTTGCTCACTGCCTACCAGAAGTTAGTATTAGGGACATACTTAGCTTTTAGGCACTTGTGAATTAAGGACATAAGGTTAGTGAGGATTCTTCATCCTTATTTAGCTAGAAGAGCATTGTTGAATATATCCATATCCTTGAATCCAAGACCACTATTTTCTTTTCTTTGGCAGATAGAGTTGTCATACCCTAAATTTGCCTTACCCCTGTATATATATCCTCCATCTGTTATACCCCAAATTTATCCTATTTTCTTATTAACAAGTATTTTTGTTAATTAACAGTTCATTTAGATGGTCATTTTGCCTTTGGTCTTGATCTTCTAAAAGGAGTTTTATGACACATTTCAGGATGAGTCCAAATTGTGTACTAACATGTTGTTATGTATATTGGATCACATTTAAATTTGTTTAAAGTTTGAAATGATTCAAATATTGATGGATGACTTCAAGACATCTACAAGTAAATCTCAAAAGGGGTTCAGGCCATAATCACCATAAAGAGCCAAACTTATGTTCAAGAATAGCTTCGTCCTTAAGGACAATTGTGTCTAAAAGCGAGTTTGATTAAGCTCGATTAGATGGTTAATTTTCAAAACAACATTCAATTTGTGTTCAAGTTGTGAAATCCAAAGCAAGTCACAGTGGTAAGATGTCCAAATCATATTTTGATACAACAATCATAATGGGTGCTTTTGGCAGGATGGTTTTTAAATTGTGGTTGGGAGGTTTCTCTTTTAAGTTCTGGTTTTGATTGATCATATTACAGCTTTTCAAAGTTTGATGAGGTTTCCTAATTGACATGAAATGGTCAAGTTATATTCCAAAATAAGAGATGAAGTCCTCAATATTTTAGTCAGGAATGTCGCACTTAATTGGCAGCTTTATTACATAGTTGTGCTTATAAGATAAACATCCGTTTGGTAAACACAATATACATGAAAGGTCACAGGCGACAATTCACAAGATATAGTTGTTAAATTTAAATCAAGGCAGCCTGCATCAGTTGGTTCACAGATTGAAGCCTCACACATTTTCCTGCATAATCAAACATACTAAGCTAAAATCCAAAACTAGTAAGTTATTTTGCTTCAAACCGCGCCCAACACG